GCCACTCGCGGTCGCTGTCGATCCCCAGCTAGCGGCCAACCTCGAGGACCTTCTGGCCTTCCAGCTCTAAATGTCCAGGCGGCCTCGGCCCCGAGAATGCCTCGCGCTTCTCCACGGACTCGATGGCGCTCACGAGGATCTTCTCGAACTTCTCATCTTTCATTCCGATGATGAGGCGCTTCTTCTTGCTGTCGTACATCTTCTCGGTGCGGAAGAGGCCCACAATGTGCTGTGCCTCCTTCGACCCTGGCTTGAACTTGTCCAAGTACTCCTTCAGCGGAGCCTTGTACTTCTCCTCGCACGACTCCAGCATGGTGATGATCGCCGCCGTCAGCAAGAATGAGTCTGGCGCCCCCAACCCATGTCCAGCCTTCCCTTTGACCCTCGGCAGGTACTCCTCTGCGTGGGCCTTGGCTATGGCCCTCATGATGGGGCCCTCCACTAACATCTCGATCTCTACCGTGCACGCTGCGGCCAGCAGCCTGGCCTTCTGATTAGCGATCACCCCCAGCTTCAACGCTAAGTCGATCTTTTGCTTGTCCTCCGTGCATTCAATCTGGCGGTACTTCACAGAGCGACCTTGTGGCTCAGCTGCAGCGTCACCAGGTCCTGCATGCGCGAACTGTTCCTTCCACATCGGCCGAACAGCACTGCACCTTGGACGATGGGCACTCCCCGCCTGGTGAGCACAAGACCTCGACCGAAGCACCCGAGCCAGACATCAACGAATTCACACGCACACCGCACCCCTGAGGCACGGTCAACAGGGTAGATGTGTTAACATATGCGCTCTCGCCACTTCATACGTGGCGAACTCCTCACTACACAGTTCACACCAGTAGGGGGGGTCGGCAACATGTTGGTGTACCGTGACTGACCCCCTCGACCTCGGACATTTTCCTTTCTTAATAGCTTGATCCAAGTGTTCCGACGCATATCGTTTTGTCGTATAGAAGTTGTTGCACAAGATGCATTTGTTAGATATAGTAAGTATTTTTGCCAGCTGCTTTTTTCCGTGTCCTTCTGCTTTTGAGTTAGACTGATGCAGCAGTAGCTGGCGACGCGTGTCGAAGCCCAAGCCACAGCCCTCGATGTCGCACACGTGTGGTGCGGGAGTGGGCGGCTCGGGCAATTCTGGCTGAAGTGCCGCAGGATCTGGCTCTTCGTCTCCCCCCCGTGGTACCTCCTGCTCAGCTCCTCCCACCTCTCCCTCGACAAGTAGTTCTCCTCCACTTCCTCTTCTGTTCCTTCCTACCGTCACCTCCTCCATCAGCCTCTCCGAGATATCCGCGTAGACTCTAGGTCCCCCCGTCACCCTCTTCAGCTTCTCAACCGACACCTTTAGTACTGCCTCCCGCACTTCAGTATCACAAAAAAGCGCACCTGGGCGTTCCACAAGCGTGGGCAGAATGTCTGGCATCTGTAGGGACTCAACACAGGCAGAAAGATCGAGTAGCAGCTGGTTCCACCACGGCTGCACCGAACTCCCTCCAGGGGCCCACGCTGAGAAGCCCATCTCGTCACACAGGTTGTGCTGGTCCCAAGCAGCGTAGCCAAACAGAGTGGCGATAAATAAGACATGTCTCTCAGGGTTTCGAATGATTTCTTGCCACCAGCTGATCCTCTGCGCTCGCAGCAGGCTGAAGGGCGTGCGTATTCGCAGAAGTTCCCGAACCTTAGAGTTGGGCAAGGCAGCGTGGTGTTTGGCCCTCAGCTCCGTCGCTTCAACCTTGAGACACCCCTTGCCCTGTAGAGCTTTTCTAGCTAGTTTCGCTTGCACGCCCTCAATCTTCTGAAGCTCCGCCTCAGGAAGAGGGTACGCGATCACCTCCGATAAGAGCGAGGCGTCGATCATGCTCTTGAAAATGACGCCCCTCCACCTTTCATTCGTCACTTCGCTCCAGAAACTCCCTAGGACTGCGAACGTTTGTTTTGCCCTCCTGACGCGATACTCGACTTCTGGTTTCGATCTTCCCTGGAAATGTAGTTGGCCGCCCAGATACCTCGCCACTCTCTGTGCCTCCCCCTTCATTACGTCCTTGTCCCTGTACAGCCTCCTCATCCCGGACTGTATGCCTCTCCCCTCCAGCTGCACCAGTGACACCTGCTTGTCCCCGTTCAGCGCTACCCCCTCCTCCCATAGCTCCGCATCGAGGTGCATGAACTGAGCATTCGTGCGCAGCCTGCAGTGAGCTGCGTCTTCCACGGCCGACGTACGAGCGATGTCGTCTGAGAAGCTGGAGACAGAAATGTCGAACAACTCTCTCGACAGGGCCCCAAGGCGCTGCCTGGCCTCGTCATCTGCTGCTAGGCAGTGCCGAAGCCACTTGATCTGCACATAGATCCCGCTGGCGTCAGAATCCCGAAACCTATCGATCGCGGTGTTGTAGGACCCCAGGAACCATATGCATGCGACCGTGTCTCCAGGGAGTGTGCCTTGCCCAATGCTCACCTGGAGGTCCCCATCCACGCACTCAATCATCACCTGTGCGTAGTCCAGCCTCTGCTCCAGCAGCTTAGCCCCGAACTCATCACAGTGCGCGCGCACATACGCTTTCAGCCTCTCATGATGGATACTGTGAAAAGCATTCGTAGCGTCGTACAATGTTGTTACTCTGCCAATCTTAGAGCCGTGCAGCCTGGCAGCGCAAGCGTTCTGTACAAGAATCGCCTCCTCCCGCCGCCTCCCCCGAAGATAACCGAACGCGTATGGCCGATCGGCCTGCTCAGTCAATGCTGGGTATGCACGCCAGAGCTGAGCATAGTAAGCTTTGCCTAGTGCGTCAAGCGAATGCACAAGCCTCTGGCCCTTGCATTCGCTTTTTCCGTTGAGCTTATCCAGCGAGAAAGCGTGGCTACGATGCCACTGCAGCGGCGTCTCTGAATGCATTCTGATGGCCGTGCAAATCCACACAATGCACTTGGTGATACATGGGAAATACCAGTCCTCCACATTTTCATATCTCTCCAAGGCCTCGCCTCGCGAGTACTTATATTCGTTGGGATTCATCATCAGCCTCCACACTCCTGCGGGAAAACTCCAGGCTGGCGGCGTCCGTCTCAGACGGGCCGACAACAGCTGCCTTCTCAGGCTTTCAAAGTCATCGTTCGCTCTGGCAAGTGTGTCGGGCGTGAGCGAGGTGCACGCGGGCCTGGCTGCCCTTCGCGCTTGCTCCTCCTCCTGCGCAGGGGGTCTCGCCGCGAATCCACCCTTGCTACCTTGCTGCTCCAAAAAAGTGCGCCACGTGCTCATTTCTAATCGAGTCTTGGGGGCACAGAAGTTGCGTTGCTTAGGTCCTAAGTTGTTCTTCGCTAAAAGTCTGGACAGCTTCCAACAGAGCGCCGTGTCTCCTTCGCTCTTCGCAAGTTCTAATTCTCTCACATATAGCCCCATGCGCCTAGATCTATCCCGGCGCAACTGGAGTCGAACCTTTTTGTCACGTTCCCTACACCTAGCTACGACCGCTGCCAGACACGCACTGGGTTCATACATCACTAGACATGCACGTGATGCGTAGCACATACGCCCGAGGAAATGTGGCGACAGAAACTCATGTACCCCACGTCCGCTGAACTTACAAAACGTGGTGCACAGCACACTGGGGAGAGGGAGAGGAGGAAGGGGATCGATGGGGACACTCTTCAAGTCCCTAAGCAACTTACGATCCCTGATTCTGTCTTGCAGGGCTTGCGTAGTGTCAGAGGGCCTCGAGTCCTGCTTAGATTCCTTTTTAAAATACACGCGAGCCACTGATTCCACTACTTCGTGCATTTTGTTATACATTGCATCCGCACTCTGCGCACTGAGCTCTTGCACTCTCGGCGCTACTACTTCGAGCTCTCGCTCTACCTGGTTCAGAAACTCTTCCGACCCCTGGCCAAACCTCACGGCGCGCGAAATCGCATCGTGGTTCCAGCACGTCGGCGCTTGCTTGCACATCTCGAAACAGGGCCCTACTATAAACCTGAGCACCAGAGGGTAGTGGTCCCTGCGCGTGCGTGTGTGAATTATCTGCAATTTCTCGCCCGCCCTCCCCCACACCTCGCACGACTCCGTATATGATCTAACTACTGCGGGCGCGCACACATAGTCAATCCTTGACGTGTGCAGCCCTGAGCCGTGGTAAAAAGTCGGCCCTGTCTCAAAAAAAATGTTCAGCGCTGCCAATTCTTGCTGCTCTAGAAACTCCCTCAACCTGCTACCGTTGAAATTCTCATCGTCTGGCTCGCACGTTCCAACATATCTAGACTCCTGCTTGCCCCCTAACTTCGCATTCGCATCTATCATGAATACAGGGATGGTACGCGCTGGTAACGTGTCCACCAAACTGTTCAGGCTCTTCCAAAACTGTTTACACTTCTTTTCTTGTATACATCTCTCTTTAGCCGATCCGTGGGGCTCAGTCGGGGCATAGCCTACAACAAAGGTCATATCAATGATTTTTCCTCTGCACCTCACCGCGCCCAGCCTGCCCTCCATGCCTTTCGGGGACATCACGTGGCGTATGGTGTGGCTGGGGAAGGACTTGGTGCTCAGCAGCAGCGCGAGGCCAGTCGGGCGGCCCGCAACTCCACACGCACGAGGCCACCGAAATCTATGAAAGTGAGCCAGCCGATCTTGTTGACATGCGAGCCCTCGAGAATCTGGCGTACACTGTGTACCTTGCAATCCAATCACCTGGCACGATCTCAACTGTCTTGCGATGTCATTCCATCTCCCCTCCTGCCTCAGCGACAGCACGTTGTATGAACATACTCTCAAGTTCTGCATCAGCTGGGGCTGCCCGAGCGCATCACTCTGGGGGAGTGTCGAGAGCGCGACGGTGGCGCTCTGGGGGCCTCTTGTTGCCCCCCACTTAGATCCCCTCGGGCCAGAGGGGCTGAGGAGGAGGAGGAGGAGGAGGAGGAGGAGGAGGAGGAGGAGGAGGAGGAGAAGGACGAGGAGGAGGAGGAGGAGGAAAAAGAAACGCTGCCGCTGAACCTGGCCAAAGCGCGCGCTCCTCGTCCGCCGGCAGCCTCCCGGCGCCCTCGGCCGCCTGTGCCTGGGCGTGGGGCCCCGCGGCGGCGGCGGGGGCGAACACGCGCGCGGCGGCGGCGGCGGCGCGCGCGCGCCTCGAGTTTGGAAACAGTCATGGTGGAAAATTGCTCGTTCAGCCTCTCGGGACGAGAAACCGTTGCCAAAAAATGGGTCGAGACCTCCAGGGGTCGGCATCATGACCGGATCATGACGTCGGGGGTCTGCAGAGGAAGACCTGACCTTCTCGAGTGTTCAAAAATATAAACCTCCAGACGTACACACCTTAAATCCGCCGACCATGTCGGCGTGTGGACTCGTCGTCGTCGTCGTCGTCGTCGTCGTCGTTGTCGTCGTCGTCGTCGCCTTCGCTGCTCGCTTCCCCCCTTTTCCTTAGGCCCGTCGCCGTTCCCCCCACTTTCAACAGGTTCTCCTCCTCGAGCGCGCCAGCCACAGCGAAATTGAGCACCGTTGTAGTTGAATCGAGGGAAGCCCCTTCCCTTTGATCCCTTCCCCGCCGAGGGGGGGGTCCCAAGAGTGAGGTCCCGGGGGGGGGGTCCCGAGGGGGTCCTGGGGAGGGTTCCGGGGGTGTCCCGGGGCAGATATGACTTCGCCTCGAGCGGTTGGGTGGCCAAGAAAAGCCGCAGGACGCGGCAAAACTGCCTCAAAATGTCCCCAAAACTGAACTCGAGGGCCCCGAATCGCCGAAGTATCGGTCCAAGTCGCCAAAGTAGCCTCCAGACGGCCCAACAGGTTTCCAAAATCATAGATTTCCCGTGCATTTTTGAAAGACTTCGGCATTCCCATCTTGTCATCTTCCCGACGCTCCAAGACATGAAAAAAAGCCTCCAAAACCGCCCCAAGATGGCCCAAGAGGCCTCCAAGAGAGCCCCAACACGACCCAAGAGGGACCCAAGACCGACCAAGAGGCCTCCGAGACAGCCGAAGAGGCCCGCAAGACGGCTTCAAGGAGGAGCCCAGACGGGGGACCCGAACGGACATTTCGAGCCCTCGGCCTGAGAAGCTCTCAGGAGGCCCCCCTAAGGTCCCTAAGAAACCCCCCAAGAAGCCCCCAAGAGACCCCTTAGGAAGCCTCCAACAGCAAAAGATGCCTCCAAGACGGCCTGAGACAGCCTCAAGATGGCCCAAGTCGGTCCCAAGAGGCCCCCAAGAGGTATGCAAGACGGCCCCAGTGGCCTCCAAGAGGTCCTCCAGGAAGGCCCGAAGAGGACAAAATCATTGATTCCCCATAGGTTTTTGACAGATTTTGGCATTTGCTTCTTTTCGTTCTTCCGACGGCCCGAGACGGCCCAAGAGTCCCCAAAGATCGCCCCAGGATCGACCAAGAGGCCTTCCAAGATGGCCCCAGAACGGCCCAAGAGGCCCCGTAGACGTCCCCAAGAAAACCCAAAGACGGCCCAAGGGGCCTTCAAAACGTTCAAGATGACCTCCAAGGCGGCCCTGGAGCAACCCAAGAGGGATTCAAGTCGGTCCAGAAAGGCCCTCAAGACGACTTCCGACGGCGTCAGACGGGCCAGGAATGCTTCAGGCGGCCAAGCAGGCCCCCGAGAAGCCCTCAAAGGCGCCCAAGTGGGCCCCCAAGATGCGTCCAAGAGGCCCAGGAAGCTCCAAGGAGGCCCCAAGAGTGCCCCCAAAGGCTCCCAAGATGCTCCCTTTTTCTTCTCCTCCTCCTTCTCCTCCTCCTTCTCCTGATCTTACCCGCCATCCTCCCCTAAGTGTTCCCCGAAGAGTTGTTACAACGGCTTGGGGAACCCATGGCCCGATAGATTCGCAGAGCTCTTGCCACGACGCTCGGCCACATGGGCGATTCCAAAAGACAGGGGCGGCGGTGATTCGCCGTAGGTGTCTTCGATCCGCCGGCCCCTCTTGGCTTGCCACAGGGGTGCCCGGCGTTCTGGACCCTAGACGGTTTGGCTTTGGTTCTTGTTCAAAAGACTCTCCCTGGGGCTTCGGCCCGTCCCGCCGGCCCTGCTGCGGAAGACCCGGTTGCAACGGTTTTTTCCTGTTCCAGATGGCTCCGATCTGGCCAGAGATGGCCTCCAATACGGCTAAAATGGCCAGAAATGGCCTCCAAGTTCGGCCAAGATGGCCTCCAAGACGGCCCAAGAGGGTCCCAAGTCTGCCCAAGAAGCTTCCATAACGGACGAAGAGGTCCCAAAAGGTGCTGAAGAGGCCTCCAAGACAGCCCAAGAGGCCTCCAAGACGTCCTCCAGAAGGGCCCGAAGAGGCCAAACTCATTGATTAACCATATGTTTTTAAAGGATTGTGGCATTTGCTTCTTTTCGACCTTCCGACGGCCCGAGACGGCCCAAGAGCCCCCAAAAATATCCCAAGATCGCCCAAGAGGCCTCCAAGATGGCCCCAGAGCGGCCCAAGAGGCCCCGAAGACGGCCCGAAGAGGGCCCCAAAATGGCCCAAGGGGCCTCCCAAACGCCCAAGATGGCCTCCAAGACGGCCCTTGAGCACCCCAAGAGGGCCCCAAATCGGCTCAGAGAGGCCCCTAAGACGGCTTCCGACGGCGTCAGACGGGCCAGGAGGCCACCAAGACGGCCCAAGATGGCTTCAAGATGGCCCAAGACGGCCCAAGAGGCCATCAGGAGGTCTCGAAGACGGCCCAAGAGGCCCCCGAGAGGGCCTCCAGGAAGGCCAGCCCGAGGAGGCCCACATCATGCTCTGACGTCTTTTCCGTGGTGAACTCTGATACCATATGGTCGCGACCAGGTTATCGAGACGTGCAAACGGCGAGCGCACTCCTGACGAGAGGAGGGTGCGAAGAAAGTTAAAAGGGGCGTGCGCTATATAGGGCAGGTCCAGGGTGGCTGAGGGTGGGAAAGCTTGAGCCCCGGCAGCGATATGGGGGGCTGCTGGAGGGCTGCAACATCTAAAGAACCTCGAAGCAATCACGTGCGACGCACAACCATGCTCTGACGTCTTTTCCGTGGTGAACTCTGATACCATATGGTCGCGACCAGGTTATCGAGACGTGCGAACGGCGAGCACACTCCAACATTTTCGCAAAGTCGAAGTTTTCAGCGTAGCGGAACAGACCATTCAGCGCATGTCGGGGAAGGCGTCAACCTCTGCATACGATAAGAGATGGTATGCCACAAGCCGATCACCTTTGTTCACAAGTCGAGCAGAACAGTGCACAGCCAACGAGCGAAGCGAAAAGGGTACGCCGCGGCTTTCAAGGTCATAGCCTTTCCTTCCAAAGCGACATGTTTATGGCCAGGCCTGAAAGAACAGTGCCCGTGTTTGCCTCGGCAACGCAGAGCGCCCGGGTGGCTTAAAGCGAAGTCTCCCGCTTCCGTGACGCATCCCAGGGCCAACTTGGTCGCTTTCCGCCACCTGGATCCGAAAGCGCACTGATGCAGATCCAGCGTGCGGCTACAGCTTAAAACATGTTTCATGATATCTCGGCATCGCCACATGTACGAAGTCTGTGGGTTCTCTAAAGCGAACGGCACTCCGAAAACCTGGCTCAACTGAACGATGTACACAGCCACACGCTTACAGAGATTTCCTATCCTGACCGTAGTCTGGTCGCCTGGACGCAGGGATGGCAGGCCCTCTGGATATTGCGCACTTCTGACAGGATATCTGTTCCGAGCCAGAGACAACGAAGAGCAAGGAGGTGCCAGCGTGACTGCATGGACAAGCCCAGCTCTAAAATGGGCGAGAATCGCATCTAGATTATTGGCACTGCACACGTCCTGATCCATCCCATTTCGCAGGTCCAACGACACAGAATTGAAACCCAGTCGCGTGGCAAAGCCTCCGACTCCGCCCCCGCCAGAAAAGAGATCCAGCAGATACGGCGCAGAAGCAGCGGCCAGTTGCGAGCTCAGCGGAGCTCGCGAAAGCCCTCGAGGCCGCTGAACGGCGGCACAAGCGCGGGCCGCCCCAGCAGCAGCACGGCCTGCGCCAGCTTCGCCGCCGCGGCGCAGTGTGCCATGGAGGCATCGCCCAGCTTCCCCAGGCCCTCGTTCAACCGTCCTGACTTTTCGTATTTCTTCATCGAAGTCATCGCCGTCCATCGCCCTCTTCTCTGCACCTCCCCCAGAAAGCGTCGTCCCGTTGCCCGACATAGCGATGCGCCGCTGTGCCGGCCTTGGTATGTGACGACGTCGGCTCCGATGTGCGTGGCCGCTCTCCGGAAGAGGGTCGAGTACTGCGGGTAGCTCGCGTCCAGGAGGGGCCGGGAAGGCTGGCGATCCTTCCAGGGCTTGAAGATGTGACACGTCCACGGCAAACGTCCTGACTCGCCAGGGATGGTATCGTCCGCTGACCCCACCTTGCTGAGAGCCACCCAAGCCCCTGGAAACAGCCATACAACCCAGATCTGCACTGCATGCTCCGTCGGCGCTAGAAATGGGTCGCTCGTGAGGCTCAGCATCTCTCCTGGCCGAAGGGAGCACTCTACCATGATCAGCACCATCGCGCCTACCAGAGGCGCCCCCAGGTGGCAGGGGTCCACTGCCAACGCCGACCAGATCGCGGACGCCAAGGGCTTCCGAGATCGAGATGGTGAAAGCTCCTCCCACCGTCCCAGGCAGCGCAGTGATCTCGGTAGATGTGGCCCACCCAGGCGGCCGAAGCCCGGGTGGAAGAACATCAGCCCGCCCAGCAGCTTCCCGCCCCGCCAGCCCCTGACGCCCGTCAAGGACTTCTCGCTCATGTATTCGACCAGCTGGCCGTCGAGCCCCTTGAGCTCGGACAGGGCTGTGAGGCAGCAGCGGGAGCGGGCCCAGGCGTAGAATGCGAGCACGCGCTGGCGGTAGGTCTCCAAAGTGCCCGTCCCCACCGATCTCTTCCCGAGGTAGCTGATGCTCAACTTCACGTCGTCCCTGCCCGACTCTGCGGTCTCGAGCGCCCCGATCGCCTTCCTGATCCACGCCTTCCCGCGCGGCTCCAGACGCCTTCGGGAGCGCACAGCAGCCGGCGGCCCCTCGGCGTCGCTGCTCACGACGCTCTCGCTATCCGCCGCGACCTCGGCAACCCCGTGGC